ATAATATATATATATATACAAAACAGAATAATCAATAATCACCTCTGTCGAGGAGGCTATGTATTTGCTATTCTGCCTGTCTGTTGACCTAATGAATGATTGATTGAGTTTATTCTGCTTTATACAATCATACAAAAATCTAAAAACATGATAATCATTTTAAAAAGTAACATCCAATTTCAAATTACAATAAAATCTAAAGTTCTTAATAAAAATTAATACAAAGTTGACAATGTGTGCATAACTTTGGAAAAATTACAAACATGAAGCATCTTCATAAAATAACATCAATTTACATTAAAATTTAAAACATAATCGACATAAAAAAAACCCCCATAAAACATCAAAGCCAAAAATGACCCATACAGTCTAGGAATGAAGTATTTCCAATGGAGACCTTCGAACACTAAACGGATTACAGAAACAAAAAGGATCTTCACTGTGGAAGCTAAATGTTAAAATCATTGCTTAATTAATCTAATATGGCACAAGTAGCAAAGAGTTTTTTTTAAATTTTACTTTAAATAAATTAATGCAAGAATGGCTCATGAAAAATTTTGTGGTACATACAGGTCTATGCAAGAGGTGGTAAAATTATGGGAAGGAAAGGTTAAAGGACAAGGTGATGACCAAAAAAATTTGAATATTTACTTCTGAACATACCACTCAAGAATATGGAATCGCCTGTCATGTATTATTTGGTATTCATGCACAAAATGTAGGAATGCACTATAATTTAATAATTTGTGATTACACTTTAATCGTCAGAAAAAAAATTGATAGAAAAGTTAAGGGCGAATAAAATTATGCAATACTTTTTTTATACCTTGTTTAGTGAACCCGTCGACTGCAAATATTGATGATTTCAAATAAAAATAAAATTTTATTTTTGGCCAAATAGTGCACCCTAAAAAAAAATAAAAGTTTTTCTTTATATTTATTAGGCTCTCCGCTGCCTTGAAATCTCTAAAGATAAGATATGTATTTCTTCATAATTATATAAATTTGAAGCATAAACATCCTATTTTAGATTCACCAATAAATTTTTATTTTTATTTTCTCCTGTCTTGATGATTTTGGCAACACTATTTGCTAAAGAAGGAAACAAAATTTTATTTTTATTTTTATTCCGCCCTCCAAAAATAATCTTTAGAAAAATAAGTACACAAAACAAAAAATAAAAAATAGTCTCGCCTTACCTCAAGAATTGCTTTGGTAGCTGGATCAACATGACTAGTACTCACATCATGTCTAAAAAAGATTTAAAAAAAATAAAAAATTATAAAATTTGTTGACTAATAATGAATAAATATTCATTGGCAACAATTACCTTTCATGGACAGTCTATAATATGTTAGGTTTATCAGGGGCGATATGAAAAAAGTAGACTAAAGGTCAGTTCACACTATCAAATGTGTGTGATGTGCCCATGGGCATGATGATATCATATTATACATATCAAATGTTGAGAGTATAATAATAATAATAATAATAATAATAATAATAATAATAAAAATAATAATAATAATAATAATAATAATTTGTAGAAATTATTCGTATATATTTGGAAAATAGCTTTTAGCTGCTGGAAAAGGGGTTTTCTTTTTATTCTATTTACTGCTTCTTATCATACATAGGTTAACTTATTTTATATCGTATCTTTGTATTGTATTTTAGTATGTCATCGTTTTTATTGTGAACCTTGGAAAACAAATTTCATTTACTTTGTATATGACAATAATTGAACTTGAACATTACTTTAGGGTAACTTGGCGATCACATTGATGAAACAACTGAAAGTATGGAAAGCCGTCACAATGTACTAGACCTAGCATATCAATGATCATTTACCCCTATTTGCTATAAATAATTTATATTTGAGTATTAATATATTATCATTATATCTCAACTTGATGGGTAGTCTCCAAAATTTAAATAGTTATTAAATTTTCAGAAATTAATTGTTGCTGCTGCAACGTTCCCTGTTTTTTCTATTATGTTTTAATACATTACTCTGACTTTACTTCGATAAATAAATTGAAAGTGGTTTTCACTACAGATCATCTACCTTAATTAAGTTGCCATAAACAATTTATTGTTGTTGTATATTATCATTACACCTGATTAGTGCTCAAAATAATAATTAAAAAACCTAGTAAGTATAATAATGATTTAAGATCAAGAATATATTATTTGTTAATTTCAGAAATTAATGTTTAGCCGATGTTTTTCCAATTCATTCTGCTAATTTCTTTCATATTATACATATATTAATGAAAAAAAAATAATAGGTTACAAGATTGATTTTTGACACACAAGGCCATGCACATATTGTGTCTGCTTTTGAGGTTTTGTTAATGAAAAAAATTTCAATATTTTTATAGACAAAATTTTTCCTCAAAATTTGATTAGATAGGATTGGATTTATTCAGTGAACATCAAGGATAACCCATGGAAGTCTGAAGAAGACTTATTTCCAGTGGGGTCCTTCTGGTGGTGATTGGACAGTACATTATTGTGCACTATATTGTTGTGCACCTTTTCAGAAGAAAAGAAAATTAATAATTGTTTTATACTTAACCTATTACAAACAAATAATGGATGATTCCTAAGAACATATATAAAAATAGAAAATAGATATAATATAAAATATATAAGCAAATCTAAAGTAAAGTACCTGAAGAAAACATTACTATCACCATATTCTTCTTTCTTATTCCAACCAGCCAATGGGATTACAGCAAGAGCTCTGTCAGGGTAGTGAGTTGCAAGATGCCATGCTCCATGACCTCCCATAGAATGACCTGCGAAGATCACATGGTTCTCATCTGCTTTATTCCTTAACCATGGTGATTTCTTCGTTAACTGTTGTAAGAAAAAATTGTTTAAAAAATTGAATTTTTTTTCTCTAGTTCTAAATATTCACCTAGAAGAATGGCCAATTAGAGGACCAATTAGCTTAACTAGCATTTCAGCCCTCCTTCTCCAGAAGAGCAGCGATGGGAATTGAACCAGAATCAAGATCTCCATGGCTCAGCAC